AGTTTATTATGCATAATATAATCTTGGTCGTTTATACGATGATTCGGTATCTACAAGCAACAAAATCTGGTCATCTTTTTGTCACACATAATCTTTATATTGAAAAATGATGAATTTAAGCATTTGAATATAAGCAATCCGCCCAATCTAGGGTAAATAAACGCAAAGTTAATGCTAGATATTGCTATGCAAATGGAATTGGAACGGAAATCAATCAAGAAAAAGGATTTGAATTATATATGATGTGATGATAGATGACAGTTATAATCAATTATTGGTTTCATAAAGTAGGGGAATTTTATGAAATGACGACGTTTTTCGAAGTCTCGTCAGAGAATTTGAAATCAGCTAATCAAAGTGATGTGAGTAAACTTTTTGAAAAGGTAAAGTTAAACAATAGTTTAATTACTCGTATGTTTATATAAATTACATGATTTAAAAAATAACCTTTTTGATGTAAACAACTTTATTTAAATAAAAATTTAATGATTTTCCAGCTTTATGCTCTTTTTCTTGGCTTTTCTGTTCTAAATCCTTACATTAATATAACCATTAGACTTATACATTCTTACTTTATTTTATTTGCAACTGTAATAAATAAAGATTTTTAACTGATTTAGACCTTTATTTTGAAAATGTTGCTTATTTCAAATGATTAGTTGATACTATTTAATATAAGTCTAATTGTTGCAATAACATATAATATAAAACTGAAATCATAATTAAAATATTCTTTCACTCATGAAATATGCGTAAATGTTATTTAAATATTGTATTTCAAAAGTATTTACAAAAATTAAATCATCAAATGAAACAACATTCATTATATTAACAATAGTATCCTTTTTTCAATACTAATTTGATTATTAAATATTTTCAAATTAAAAATCCAGTTCTTTTTCTTTTCTGATATCTCATTTCATCATACATATAATTTAAGTATCATCACCTTCCATAAATTCCACTATTTCAAAATAGAATTTCATCCATAAAATAAAAA